CTCCTTGCCTTTCCCTTCCTTTGGCTTGGCGACTTGCTGCAGGAAGCGCTTGAGGAGCTCGCAGTCCTTGTAGAGGTGTTTGATGGGATAGGCGTGGTTGGTGCATGGACTCTCCATGAGCTTGTCGAAGTGGTTGGGCTGGCCCTGCTAGGGCTGCTTGCCAGCGTGGTCGGCCATGGCGACCAAAGCTAGGTTGGCCGATCGACACCGAACCTTCTTGTTCTTCTTGCCCTTTTGTGTGGAAGGGCACTCGCCTTGGTCCTCACGCTTGGCCTTGCCCCTGTCTTGACTGCCACTGAAGACCGCCCCGACCGCCTCCTCATCGGAGGCATGGTTCGCGGCGATGTCGAGCAGGTCGAGGGTGGTACGGGGCTTCACACAGCCAAGCTTGTGGATTAGGGACTTACAGGTTGTCCTAGAGAGGAACATGCTGACGACGTCCGCGTCGACGACATCAGGAAGGGAGTTGCACTGCTTTGAGAACCTACGGATGTAATCCCATAGGGACTCGTTGGGCTCCTGCTGGCAGCTCTTGAGGTCCCAGGAATTCCTAGGACGAACATATGTCCCCTAGAATTTTCCGACGAAGACCCTCTTGAGATCTGCCTTATCGCAGATGTGTCGAGCGGAAGGAATTCGATCCATGCTCGAACATGCTCCCCCACGTAGATGGGGAGGTACTAGATGATGAAGTAGTCATCATCCACTCCTCCAGCTTGGCAGGCGAGCCAGAAGTCTTCGATCCATATACCAGGGTTCGTCTCCCCAGTGTAACTGGTGATGTTGGTGGGCGCTCAGAAGCGCTGTGGGAATGGCGCTTTTTGGATGCGGCGACCAAAGGCCCGTGGCCTCGGGCCGTCCGGGCTGGGGCTCCGATCATTCAATCGGCCACCATGCCTGGGGTGCATGTCCTCACACTTCTTGATGGTTAGGCCGGGGCTCGCACCGCCTACTCCCACCGCCATTCGATGGACGTCATCATCGTGCCGGGCGTGGCGTCGATTGTTGATGACGCTGCGAGCGTCACGACTTGGCCTGAGCCATTCGTGCATAGGTGGTCGGTGTGGAGTGGGTGTCGGGTTGGGCTACGACACAACCATGGCCACCTGCTCCACGACCGACAACTGTTGTGGTGAGTGGACGGAGTGATACGACTAGTGCGGCCCTAGTCCCCCGGCTGGGCAAGACGCTACGTGCTGGTGTCACAATGCGGAGCTTTCCGCCTGTTGAACGACTGCGATCTCCACCAGTGCTCGGAGGTTCTAGTGGATCGCCTGCTCCTAGGGGTCGGCAGGCTCGGGGAGGACATGCAGAAGCATCGCTGGGTTACACGCATGTGGCGCAGCATGCTGCGCTGGGCACGCCGGCGCATGTGGCGGCTGGCTCTGCCGTCTTTGTTGTAACTCCTCATCGTGCTCCTGCGCACGCGCTAGGGCCTACGCATGGGGGTCTGGAGGGGTGTGAGTCTGCAGAGACTACACCACCTTCAGTAGCTATCCTAGGATGTCCGCCATAGCGCACTTCCAGGACAGAGGGTGGCCAGGTGCCATGATGTCGCCGATGCTGGAGCCATCGCTTTTGACCTCTTCATCGATGAGGTCGTGGAAGGAGGCAGGGGCGTAGCCCGCCATCCCCACGAACTTGGACATGAGAGGGGTTGGCGTCAGCATCCTCTAGAGCCCTCGTGCTCATGCATCCACGGGGGACGTGAAACCATAGGAGAATCGGTCGCATGGCGGTCGTGGTGGGAACAACGGGGTCCCTCCAAAGAGCTGGCGGAAGGTGTTAAACAGTGAGTAAAGAATAATATCTACGTAACTCATCGTGGGGTTTGAGCCTAGCATGGGCTCAAGGCGGAGCACGAGTGTCTCGACGTCGAGGTCGTCGAGTGATCCGGGGCAGTGGAGGGCGCTCCACCTCTAGTGGACCTCGGGATGAGCACCTCCTCGATGGAGGCGGAGTATGCTGAGCTGATCGGCGATGAAGTCTAGACTTCCGAAGAGGAAGGTCTAGAGCGGCTCGAAGACGGGAGGAACCCACATCCCAACAAGTGAGAGCGTGGGAAACTCTAGCCAGCCGAAGCGAATTGTATCGCTCGATCCCGCCATGCCAAAGATGGTGGAAAGGTGGGCCATCCGATGACCAAAAAACGCACGGCGTTCTCCCCACGGACGACGCCTACTGTCGGTGCAAAATGTGGCCAACAAGTAAATATTTATAGTTTTGCCGTGCGTTGTGATTGGATGTGGCCTAGCATTCAATGACATAGGATTTATACTGGTTCAAGCAATGGGCCCTACGTCCAGTTGAGATCGGTTGATGAGTTTATTCCTGAGCCTAGGTGCTTGAAGTTTGCTATGGGGCTACAAATGAGTGACGAATGAAGTGGGGGTGTAAAAGGCCCGGTTAGACTCTAGTCCGAGTGGAAGAGAGTGACGAGGGCTAAACGTATGCTAACTGTCGGAGCATGTGCTCTGTGTGCATCTCTGTGTGCCCGAGCTTGCGAGCTGTTGAGACTGTTGAGACCCTGTTCGGTAGCCTGTGTGGCCGTCGAGTCGCCGAGTCATCGAGTCGTCGAGTCCTAGAGTCCTCGGGTCCTCTTTTAGGAGATAGCGCATCCCCTTTTATAGTTGAAGGGGATGGCCTACAAGTTAGAGAGAAAGAGAGAGTGTGTATACTGGCGCTGCCTAGTCTTGTTGCCCACGCCATCGGGTATGGGATGGCCGCTGTCGCCCACCATACTGTTTACGCCGCCATCGCCCACCTTACTGTTTATGCTCTGACGTGTCTGGGAGGCTATACAATGTTCGTTTGGTACGGCAAACGACAGCGCCCACAATACTATTTATGCTCTGACGCGTCTGAAAGGTTGTACAGTGTCTGTCTGACATGGCCCGATAGCACCGTCCTGCAGGTGCGCAGGGCATGGCAGGGTATGGTCCTCGGTATTGCGGTTGACTTGAGCTCCTTACCTTATCTGCTCCGCCTGCTCCCCAGGCCCACACCGAGCGGGCGTCCTCGGTCGGTCGTTCCTAGTCGGCCCCAACCATGTCGGTCGGGAAAGAGCAGCGAGCGGAGGTCCGGCGTATCCTCGGTCAGAGAAAGGGGGTCGGAGTCGGACTGCGGTCCCACCACGGCCAGGCCTTCTGGTCGGGGCTCTGACCAGATCTCCTGGCTAGAGGTGCCGGTGGGGACCGGATCATGGTCTTGGCCTGTCATTTTGTATCTGGGCCGGCCCAGGCACGTGCTGTCGCTGCGCTGCCTGCTGGGCCGAGTTTTGTAGGGAAGTGGGTCCATTGGAGACCCCGGGTTTATAAACCCGACACTACCCCTCCAGAGTATATAAGGAGGGGCAGGGGTCTCCTAGTCGACATTCCACATTTAATCTCGTATTCCAGCAATACAAACCAACAGAGTACAGGACATTGGGTTTTACGTCATCTTGATGGCATAAACCTGTATAAATCTTGTGTCATGTGTCTCTGTTACCATCCGGTTCCTGATCACGCGCACCTCTACCAAACAATCTACCATCGTGGGCATACCTCTTGGTGGACTATCGACGATATTTAGTCGACATCAACCCAAACATGTCACATCTCACCACTTCGGCAATACCGGACCGGTTCAACGCTTCCTCCAACGGTCGACTTCAGAAACTAGCCATTAACCCCAACGGTCAAACTTTGATGCATAGTCTTATGGTTGGTTAGCTCTAAGCACTGGACCAATCCGAAGCAACACAGAGAGGTTCGAGAAATGTTTGTAGGTCATCGGATTGATCCGGTGGCTCCCACCGGACTAAATCAGTGAGTTCAATGAAAACACCCTCTCTGAAATTGTGCTAACGCATGATCCGGTGTCCGGTGGCCTTCTTTAGCCACTATTAAGAACCCACTGTGTAGCTTATAGTCTGGTGTCCTCTGCTAGCAAGCATCAGACCAATACAGTGCCTCCAGAGGCACCCCAATCAATTTGATTTCATCCCCTTCATTAAATGTGTCAACTCCTAAAGTGTTCCAACAACTTGTACAAGTGAGTTAGCATTTTACAAACATTTTTCAAAGAGTTTTCTCTTGCACCTCACCACATTACTAAGTGTAATACATATGCAAATGAAACTCACACTTAGTGGCACTAAATAGCCGTTGAAACCAAAGATTTCACCTCTATTGTAGTACAACTATCTACCCTAAACCAAACCATGCACTCTATTGCACCTTGGTTGATAAAGCAAAGCCCTATCATATACCTTTGCCTTGTGGCTTGCTTTTGCTCCATCTTCTCTTCATTTGATGAACACTTGCATACATGTGAACATGATCTCCATCTCCATCACTTCCTATGCCTTGCTCATCATCAACAAGTGGGCCCTAACTAAACATACTTAATGAAAAGCATTAGTCCACATGATTGGGACTCAATTATCAAAACCAAACTATGACTTTCAGTTGGCAAGAACGGACAAGGGAGAAAAACAGGAAGCGAAGAGAGAGAGAGGAAAGTAAATGTGAGGGGTTAAATGTAAAAATACATGTCACGCTAGCATTGTCACATAAAGCGAGAAAACGTTGTCGAAGCAGCATAGATGTGCAGTGCAACACTTGACAAATTAGATGACTCAAAAATGTGTTTTGGAAGTTCTTAGATTAAGTGGTATACCGTGACAATTTCATGGACAACCACTGATACATTTAACGCTTTTTTTAAATACCCTACTCCATTGACGCTGACTAGCATGATGTCATGCTTAACATGTTAATGATGCTTAGCATTTTTTAACTAAATTTGTGGTCATGACATTGATGGACAAACGATTCAGATAATATAAATACACACACACTTCACACTTTCAAGAGAGAGAGAGAGAGAGAGAGAGAGAGAGAGAAACTATGCAATATTAACAAAAAGAAATCGATTTACAAGCAGAGAAAGCATTCTACTACTACTGTGTTTTCGTGTTCCCCCACGGCCGAGGCCCGAGGTGCTGACCGGGCATATTAACCGGCTTCCGTTACTGTTTTGACGTGAAAAGTATTGGAGCTTTCTTGTAAATATTCAGAAACAGTGGCGGATGTAGCATCAACACTCCTGCTGGATTCAGTGCCAGCCGTGACAGTGACGGCGACGGCCACTTCCTCCTCCTCTGCCTCCTCAACCACCGCAATGGCCGGCACGTCGTAATCGCCCCTCTGACGACGGCCGGCATTTCCAGATTCAGTGTAGAGTTTAAGGAGGTTGGCCAGGTCCGGCGAGGAGGAGTACACCGACCCCGGCAAGAATTCCACGAGCGACTGGTAGTTGTTGCCATTGCCATCACCCCCGTTCGCCTCCCGGCAGCCTCCTCCGCCCCCGCCGCCGGCGTCCTCCGTGGCCGCGGAGTCGGACTGGTAGAGCTGCGCCCTGACCCTGAACGCGTCGAGCTGCCGCTGCAGGCCGTGCTTCTCCGTCTCGCTCTCGTGGACGAGCTGCATGGCCAGCCGCGCCGCTTCTTGGTCGAGCTCGCCCTGCTCCTCCAGCTGCCGCTGGTACTCCTCTGCCTCCGCCCTCGAGCGCCGCTCAGCCGCGAGCTCCGCGCGCAGTGCGTGCAGCTCCCTCCTCTGAGCCCTGAATGCGGTGACCAGCTCCCCGAGGGTGAGGCTCTCGTCACCGTCGTCCACGATCAGCGACTCTGGCATCGTCGCCTGCTGGTCTACGGAGTCGTCGTCCTCCCGTGGTCGCGGTCGCGAGACTATCGGCGCGAGCTCGAAGAGGGAGACGAGCAGGCCGTTGCCGTCGTCGGTGCTGGTGGTTCTTGCGATGCCGCCGCTGCGGTCGCCGGCGTGGGGTTTGTTGCCGTCTTGGTCCTGCTCGCATATCTCACTGCCGATGGAGACGACGCGGTGAGTCTCCATGCCTGACACGAACACGTCAAGTGTCAACAGGTGGTTTTATTGAGGAGATCGAATGTGGCAATTGACAGCAATTTGTTTAGATTTTATCAATCATCAGCTAAGAAATTTAAAGGAATAACCTGATGCAAACATATAGCGTTCAACACCCTGTTGGACAGCCCCTTATTTAAACATGATGGAACCATTGACTTGGCACGGCCTCTGAATTAACGGTAAACGTGCGTAAAGCGCCGTTGGTAGGCCGCGATGCCCACGAGCTCTCTTATCTGCTCTGATATCTGCTCCCCTCAGGCACAGTAATTTCTTTTTAAAAATAATCGACGTAGTGCCGCGATTGCTCCACGATCGCGCTCCGCTGCGCCTCCCACCTGCCTTCCTCTCTGCCGCCGCGCTCGGCCACATCCCGCGATGCTCCGCGCCTGTCGACGGAATATGGTTGATAGTCCATCGAAGGGTATACCCACGATGGTAGATTGTGCGGTGAAGGTGCGCGTGATCAGGAACTAGATGGCAACAGAAACACAGGATTTAGACATGTTCAGGCCGTCAATACGACGTAAAACCTTACGTCATGTGTTACGTTGGTTTGTATTGATTATTGTATATGAGGTGGGATTGAATGACACGAGTTTGAGGGAGTCCCCTACCCGCCTTATATAGCCCGGGGGTAGGATTATAGGTCGCTAAGATCTAAATTTAGTCGGTTACATGATAATCATTATAAGCAATAAGATATCTAGCATATCCGATCAGATCTGTCTCTATCTTCAAGATTCCTTCCTAAAACTTTGCGGTACACGTCGAGCAGTGCCGTGCGCCGTGTGTGGGCTGGACCACCCATGATGGTGCGGCCTACGTCCCTCTCTGTGGGTACTTTGGGTTATACCCCCCATTGCTCCCTACGCCATGCCCCATCCACTTCGCCCGTCACAAAAGGAGAGGTAGGGGAGGCCTGCGCCTGCGCCCCCATCCAGCGCGCCCGTCGGCAGGAATAGGAGGCCTGCGCGCTGCACCTAGGGTGTGCGCTGGACCGTTGCTGTCGACATCCCCTGACCTGAGCTTGCTGGCTACCAGATTTCCCCACTAGGTAGGTTGCGGCCGCCACGACGTTGAGTTTCACGTGTTTCAGATTTATGTTTCAAGTGTTTCATCTGAATGTTGCAAATAGGTATGGGATGTTGCATATATTGCAAGCCTATGTTTCAAGTGTTTCGGGTGTTTCATAGGTATGTTTTAAGTGTTTTATTTGGACGTTGCATATCTTACAATGGCTATATACGCATGTTTCAAGCGTATGTTTCAAGTGTTTCGCATGTTTCAAACTCATGTTGCAATTGTTTCATTTGGATGTTAAAAAAGTAGATCTCGATGTTGCATATGTTGCTATGACTATACACGCATGTTTCAAGTGTATGTTACAAGTGCTAATCTGTTTTAGACGTATGTGGCAAATGTTTCATCTGGATGTTTCAAAGATCCGGGAGAGCACATGTTTCATCTGTTGTAGCCGCCCTACTGCTGCTGGGGGCGCCGCCGTGGGTTACCGTGCAAGCGCCTAAGGCCAGCAGACACCTTCGTAGCATGCATTTGCAAACGCGGTAGGTGACTGGGACCCATGTGGGGCCTAAGGATGGGCGCGGACGTGGAATGGGCTGCTGGAGCGCGTGATCGGCGCGGGTGCGGCATCCGAATGTGGGGCACTAACGCTGGATGGGATGCGGACTCCAGTCGTGGATGCGGTGCAGGATAACGCGCGGAAGCTGCATCCGGACGACATGCGGACGTCCGGGCGCTAGCTTTTCCGCTGAATTAAAGTGTGCTCCTATCCTATCTCAAGCAACTTGACAACAATCAACTGGTCCTTAGCCTATGATTATGACCATTCTAGATGCCACTGGTTGAAAAGAAAAACTTTGCAAATCCCAGATCTACCCCAGTTTTAGTTAAGTTTGTGATTGCCCTTTCATCTTAAACAACAGCACTGAACAACCACGCAACCATCGTTTCCGCGACTGAAAGTGGCCTTTACCAGATTGTTACCTGAACTTGGTTCCCTGCAATTGCACTAGAAAACTGGAAATCCATTGTCAAGGATCCTCAGATTTCCAATTTGGCATTGATGCATTTCAATTATGTTCAGGCAGTTGGCCATCGGATCATTTTGTACCAGCAGAATGTTTCATATGCTTCTGCAATGCTTTGGTTGCACCAACCCAAAAAAAAAAAAAAAAAAAAAAAAAAAAAACTAGTGAGCATGCACCATCGGCCACAAGGTTTTCGATCGACCAACCTTAGGAGAAAATTTTCGTTTTAGTACGTACTACCTGATTGCAACAGCATCAACTATCTACCTCAGGTGTAACCATCAATCATCGGATAATGTAATCGAGATGTAGAAGCAATTGATACCACAGACTCTATTGTCAAAAGTTCAGAGGATGGATGCGAATCAATCGACTCGAGGAGTGCTCACCTGAAACCTTGTTCGGATCATCTGCCGCCATCGCCGCTTCCGTCTCCGAGACACCATCCCCGTCGCAGCGATCCGGAGGCGCCGAGCTGGCCCTGGCCACGGCGACGGCGGCGAGGTGGGCATCACAGAGGAGGAGGCGCAGAGCTCCGCGTTCGTCGCCAGTGGCGCTGGAAGCAGAGGAGGAGCAGAGCAGACGGTGGACGCAGGCGCAGGCGATGCACGGCGGGCCGAGGCGGAGGCACGCAGCGGCGGCGGCGATGAGGCAGAACGCGGCGCCGTTGGCGAGCAGCAGCGACGCCAGCGCCCACTCCAGCACCGCGCGTGCCGCCACGGCCAGGAACTCGCGGATCATGGCCGGGCAGCCACTGACTACCTGCTCTGCTCTAGCCTCTAGGAAAGCGAACGCGGAGGACGAGAGCGAGGTCTGGAGAAGACGGAAGAGATTTCTGGTTGTTGCTGGTCGATGGTGGCTGGTGGGGAAGGTTTCGATCACCGGTTGATGGATTGGTGGAGCCGGAAAGGGAAGGAAAGGATTGAGCTGGAGGAGGAAGACGAAGAAGAATTTGGTTGGTGGAGAAGAGCGTGAAGAGCAGGTGTCACCTTTGCAAAATGGAGCGCCACCAACAAACACACAGCAACGTAGAAAATTATTAAAGTAATGGCTTTTGAGAAAAGGGAGAGCGAGAGTTGGAGGAATGGGACGTCATGGGCCAGGGATTTGCTAACTCACTTCAAAGTTTATTTTGTCCCAATTTAATTTTCAAACCAAATGTAGGATAAAATCGATCAATATGCAGTTAGTAAAACGTAAATAGTAGGAATAGAAGTTCACATCGAAGAAAGTTGAGACCTAGGTAGCAGGGCATTTGGTATCATGGTTGCCGGCCGGCTTTGGTTTTATCCAACAAGCATAAGGTTAGAGATGTGACAAGTAAATCTCAAGCTGACATTCTAATCTATTATCTTAATATGTAGCCAGTAAGAAAAACCTCCATGTTTGCTCTCTGGGCGTAAAAATTAGTTAATATGAGAAACTAAAATAGAATAATGGTCATATGTGCTGATACTACTGCTAGTAGCTCTCTATGTTATTTTTTAATAAGGAACAAAGTTCCAGCCTCTATCGTCCAGCTAAACCTCTCTATGTAATATTGGAGTATCTCTATGCTTGCCATGCCATTATTTAAAATATAAGTCGAACTACCTTTACTGCACTTTACGTGCGTTTATGAGTTGAAACATTGTTTATTAGTTCCATGTGTATAAAACAAAGAGCTCTTTTACGGTGGTTGGGGTACTTCTTTGTTCCTCTTAGTTTCTAAGCAATTAATTAGCGCTAATTAATTTTATGAGTGGAAGGTTAATATGGTAATTGCGGCTCCCCCTCCCCCGCTACCCCTCCCCCACGTGCACCCGAACCCGCACGCCTCGCCCACGTGCACCCGAAGGACGCGAGCAGGTCCATGGACGCGAGGCTTCCCAGTCCTCGGCCTTAGCCACGGCCGCCTCACCCTCGACCTCGCCATCGCTCGGCGCCGCCACCACCGGTCTGCCCTCGCCACCACCGGTCGCTCCTCCCTCCCCCTGGCATTCCTCGCCCACGCGCACCCGAATCCCATCGCGGCGACAGAATATCTCGTCCTCCGCGACACCCATCGCAATAGCTCGACATCTGCATCTTGGCCTCATCGCTGTCTTGCGCGCCCACCGTCTGCCGTCCTGCAGCACCGACTCCGCCTCATCGCTGTCGTGCACGCCCACCGTCCGCCGGCCTACAGCACCGACTCCTACCACCGTCTTCGTCTTCATCGACATCTTCTTCCGGTGCCAGCAGCAAGGGAAGGGAAGGAACTCCGTCCCAGTCCCGGCTTCCGTCTTCTCTCCCGAGTCAAGTCCTCAGCAAATCTGGTACGTGCCTACGTACTGCTCTTCGCTTCCGTATCATACATACCATGCCGTGCTCCTCAATTCTGTTTTCAATTTTAATAACTCGACTTGACTCGATCCGTGGTCTACGCTTTCCTACTGTTTGTTTAGATTTATGGCAACCATTTTGAATTTTAATAACTCGACTTAGACCTTCGCTCGATCCATGCTCCACACTTCCGTATGTTTTGTTTAGATTCATAGTACAAATTGAGATTTTTTTTGATGGAGTGAGTAGTGTATGTTCGTAGTGGTTTAGAGGAGGAGAACAACATGCTGTTGTGCGTGGGATGTTTAGTGTTTATTATCCACCACTTTAGATGTTTGTTTAGAATGGTGTTTAATTTCTTAAGTTTTAATGTACTGTCCATGATTAAATGTAAACCGTTGATGAGAAATTGAATTCGATGATGCAGCGGTACTAAAATAGTACTTAAGATTAGACTAAGGATCCCATGCCATGGCTTCGTATGTCTTTTTTTTGTTGTCTCTTCTCAAATGTTCTGATTTTGTGGGAGTAAGAATTTTTTAATCAAAAACCATTGAGGCCGCATCCTATTTTGTAGTCTAAAGTTTTTAGCATGAGTCAAAGTGATGAATTGATAAGTAGCTATGTTTCGAACATGGATGTTTGCTAATGAAGAAGATATAGGTCTTATCTGTTTGGAGCTGCACTAAGATTCTGTATAGTTAATGACGACATCCCCCTATCAGATTTTACCAGCCCTCGTCGCATCACCCTCGCCGTCGCACGGCGCCGCCGCCTCCGGCCAGCCGTCGCTCTCCCTCCTCCCCGACGCGCCCGCCTGACGCGAGCTGCCCCAAGGCCAAGGTTCGACAGACACGCATGAACTCATCTTCATGGTTCATGCCATTGCCCATTGCCATGAGTTTGTTTTGGAGATTAGACTCTGGTCTGAAACTTGAATTTACTGTTCATTGAATGGGACTGACTCTTATCGATTCTTATCCTATCATTTCTAGTGTATGTCATTTTTCTCCTTATTTAATCGTAGACAATCAGATCATTTTATCTTGTTGTAGTAGCTCTGCCATTGAGTTAAAATGCGTTATACTTCTCTCTAATATATTTTGAGTACGATCACATATTGCTTTTAATGGGAATCGATGACATAAGTTATCTTCCCCTGCTAGTCAGACACGTGTTTAGAAGTTAAGTGTCTATTATATCTTATGTGTATGCTTAGAGCCTTAGATTGCCACTTCATATAGAAAAGTTACATCAAACAGGACCAATTATTTGTTAGTCAGCATTGACTAGACTTAATATATGGATATCTTTTTTGTATGAACACATTGTGTTGATAATGTTCAACATCTCTAAGCACTACAAATCTATGTTAATAGTTATCTAATGAGCTACTATTTTATTTTCTAAATTTCAATTTACTTTGCTGTCTTCCAGTAGTGGACTCCTAGACAAATGGGATTTTCTGAGGAAGGGAAATGATGGTGAAAATGATTTTACTGGATGGACGTTGCTAGGATGATTCTGCTAAATTTGCAGATGGTCCTTTTACATGTCAATGCTAGTCCAAATAGTCTAGAAGCCTATGTAAATAACTGAAAACTGTGTATATTTCAAGTTTGATGTATTGTTAAATTTCTCTGTTGTGGTTGGTCACCAAGTAGTGGTATCAGCCAGACAGGGTTCAAATCCTGGCTTGCACCCAAAAAAAACTTGCTGTGCCTCCCCACAAAAAGTAGCTGGGCACCATCATGTTGTAATGGTGAGGTCCTACCTGGGGTAGTGGCAGGATTCGGGAGTTTTCTCAGACAATTTGGCTATTGTATTTGTTTAATGTTGTTGATGGATACAGGAGGAAATGTCATATCTTGAGTCTTTGCTGTAGTACAATGAAATTGTCAAGAAGATGTTTGCTAATGAAGAAGAATGATTTCAGTTCTATAACAACTATGGTTTTGAGAAAGGATTTAGTGTGAGGAGAAGCTATTGTCAGTGGGACAATGGCCACAATGAGATGACTCTTCGGAAGTTCATTTGCAGTTGTCAAGGTTTCCATGAAGAGAGCAGCTGAAGAGGGCGATTAAGAAGCGGAAGCCGCGGAATATTACCCGTGTTGGATGCCTTGCTAAATTTGTGATTGCACAAGATTAGATCATAGGGCAGTGGTATGTGAAGGATTTCATCGATGAACACAACCATCCGATGGCGCCAGCAGAGCTTACTTGTCTGCTACGTTCACATAGAAGAATCAGCGATGAGCAAAAAGCTAAGATTGTGGAGATAGAGAATTATAGGATCCGCAAACACAAGATAATTGATATTTTGGAAATGCAGTATGGTGGGTATGATAACGTTGGGTGTACAACAAGGGACTTGTATAATTTCTGCCATCGCTATAAGGCGGAGACAATTGCTGTCGGTGACGCTCAAACAGTCATTAGTTACCTGACGGAACTTCAGCACAGAGATCCTGATTTCTTTTTCAAGTACATGGTTGATGGGAAAGGACGCCTGAAGGGACTATTCTAGTGTGATAGTCAATGTCTGTTTGATTATGAAGCATTTGGTGATGTCGTTGTATTTGATAGCACCTACAAAACTAATCGGTACAACCTACCCCTTGTTCCTTTTGTTGAGGTGAATCACCATCGAAGCACGGTTATTTTTGGATGTGAAATTATTTCTCATGAGAATATTGAGTCATATGTGTGGTTGTTGAGTACATTTTCCGAGGCCATGATTCAGAAGCATCCGATCTTCGTGATCACTGATGGGGACCTTGCTATGCAGAGAGCAATCAGGCTAGTGTGGCCGAATTCATCGCATAGGCTCTGCATATGGCATATTGAGCAGAACATTGTGCGTAATCTTAAGGATGATGTTGTCAAGGATGAATTTAGGAGTTTCCTTTATGATTGTTGGTCCATAGAAGAGATCGAGAGAAAATGGTAGAAATTTTTGGATAAACATAAGGTTACAAATAAAGAGTCGTGGTTGTATCAGATGTATGATATGAGGGAAATCTGGTGTGCTTCGTATTATGCTGGTAAGTGCTACTTAGAACTGAGGAGCAACCAACGAAGTGAGAGCCTAAACTCTAGGCTTTATATGCGTCTAGATCATAAAATGACACTGCTTGACATGGTAAAGCACGTGGAGCACTGCCTTCCAGAGCTGCGCACAAATGAGGCAAAGTTGGGCACTGATGCATTGCAATCTGAGGCATGCACAGAACCAGATACTTCAATTATTGAGATAGAAGCCGTGAAATCGTTCACTCCAACAGTTTTTGCCATGGTGCAGTTCAGCATAAAGGCAGCCAAGAAGTGTTTTTTGATTGACATTCTAGATGGCGATAATATGAGTAAGTATATTGTTGGCAGGAAGGATAAAGGAGACATGATGTACTATGTCAAATGTCAATTTTGTGATGAAGG